ACCACAGAACAGTTCGGCACCATCGCCGGAGGGTGATAACCACAGACATGGCCGTCGCTGGAGGGGCGGAGCATGGAGGGGGGGCACCTGAGGTAAGGACTCTCCGGTCACCGGCGGAAAAGCTCGGACGAAGAGCAATGGATCTTGGCTGCCATCGCCTCCTGTTCGCTGCGCTCACGGTCGAGCCATGGCTTTTCTCCCCAACCCCAGGAGATGTGGGAACGTTATCCCAGGGAAACGATGCATCTGGTACTGCTCACAAATTACTGCAGATGAACGACTACTGTACACAAACTACTGGTAAATCGCTGTATAAGAGCACAACAGTATATCCTTTTTAAATCTGGAAACCCTCAAAATCGCTGGACAATTAGAAGAATCAGGATGTGACACAGAAACAGGGACATGAATACAGAGGCAGAGCAATGCCTACATCTCGAGAGTGCCTAGATGGTCGACAATCTCATGACGAAGCATGTTATCATGAGAATTCTGAAACCATGCTCAAAATTACTTGTTACCTGATTGATTTAAATATACAACAACAGAAAATATGAGCTACAGAATTATAGTACTACAAAACATGTAAAATTCAATGTGCAAAGGGAAACATCAAACCAAGGAAGTTCAAATTTATATTCGGGAGAACACAGAGGACAGTGCGAATTTAGGAGAGGACTAGCATCAGAGATAACCAGTGCATCTGATGGCACTTTCATGATAAAGGGTCATGTGTAATACATATTCCAGAAAATACATGATGAAGGGTCTGAGGATCACGAGTGGAGCAATAAAAAATTATACTGTATGTATTAACATGTTTCAACCAAAACATTAATTGACTTCTACAACTCCTGAAACCAAACACATCACTCAGAAGTTCACATAACAATACGGAGAACCTAAAAGAAAACGTAACAACAACCAAATTGTCCATGTGTTGAAAAGAACATTATTCAATCATCAAAATAGCATCCCAACGACCGCACGGTTATTATCCCACCTTGAACCTATATTGCCCACTTAATATCAAATTAAGTGAAGTATCAGCTCATCATTGCATCATTCTGAATAGGAAGCAGATCATCCATGCAAGGAGTGTAGATGAATGACTCGAGTATGGGTCGCAAACCATAATCACGGTTGCCTAGGTATGGTGGATAAGGTGATCCCAAGTACTTTAACTTGGAGTTTTCCAGATAGTAAGCAAATCCTTGAAAGCGGTTGCCCAAGAAAGCAATTTCTTTGTAAGGATGGTATCCCAAGAAGTCCACGGCAAAGTGATAATCTTTGTAATCCATGTCCGACCCTCCTTCTAAATCAATGGCACTGTCATCACTAGAATCCCATCCATGCTCGGATTCTTCACTCCGACCATTTAAGATCCAGCACTTTTCATACCTTTCTCCTCTTAAGTGTTGGTCATGGTGTAGATTTAAATTTGTAAGGTTAGCTTGATGCTTCAGCTCCCACTCCGGTGTTTGACATGATTCTAATGTTTCGCACAATACCCACACTTGAAGTGTGTATCCACACAAAGTGGTGTAATAGACACCATGCTTGGATTTACCCAAATACCCGTATGTCGTAAGATGTGTCTCGCGCCCAGTTGCATCGACACCAAACCCAGTGGTATCTAGTTTGGGGGTTTTGATCACTAGATAGTTTTGTTTTTCCAATGACAACCTACATAAATAGCACAACCAAAAATAGCTTTGTAACAAGTAGCAACAAGACAATAATCAACAAAAGTACTTCATCATAGCATCATACATACCTCATGATGAAACCAGAGTCACAATGTACATAAAACGAAGCTCGCCAGTGGACTGCATGTCGTTGAAGCGAGTTGCGGCTGCTACTTGGTGCCAATGCATCTAACCACACATCCGACACAGTAACTGCTGCATCACCTTCACGAATAAATTGTTTCTCTTCCCACCGCCCAGTTTTTGACGAGAACACTTGCAGTGGGTAGATGTATGGTGGCCATTCCATTGATCCCAAAGAGTTACGCTCATGCTCGTAATCTGCTCTTGAAATTTGTGACTCACCAGGTTGAAGATGGGGTGGCTTTGGCTTCTCAGGCACATCAGGGAAGAATAATACATTGTAGTGCAGAGACATAGTTGGATCGAACATTAGGTACATACGATGGCGGTAGAAAAACAGGTGGCTGTAGGAAGTTTCCGTGCGCGGCGGCTCCGACAGGGTCGCCCACCGTCGTGTCGCTGGGTTGCACACATACATCCCCTGACTGTTTTCGTACAGGAGGAGACCGTTGCGGTGGTCCAGGACGCTACGATAGCGCATCAGCTGGCCAGGCAGGAAACTGAGCATGCCATCGATTGGGCTAGTAGTCCGCGGAGCGACGCGGGAGAAGAATCTGGACCTTCGCATCATGGCGTAGTTAACGTAGATGCCGTGCAGAGAGCACGGAACTTGACGCGCGACCGCGAGGAGCAGCCCGCGGGCATCGACGACAGCGCACCAGTGCTTGCAGACGCTCCGGCACACCGCGAGACTCCGTGGAGGAAAACTGCGGAGGATGTCCGCGAGCAATTCATCGGGGAGATTTTCCATTGCTGGCTGGCTATCGGCGACGTGCTGTGGGGTTAGGGTTTGGGTACTGCCTGCCGGCGACGGCGGCATATAGCTTTGCTTTGACTCCGAAGCCGAAGCAAAACAGGGAGATCGGTGTTGCTCGGAGACCACAGGGAGGGGAAGTGGGCGGGGCCGGCGGCGATGCAGCGGCGCGGGCGGGAACGGCGGACAGCAGGATAGAGGGTGGAGGAGGCAGCGGCGGCCGAGACGGTTGGTGGAGGGAGGAGGTGGCTGCGTGCGAGCGAACCCTAGCGGGGGCGGCGACGGCGGCGTGCGAGCGAACCCTAGCGGGGGCGGCGGCGGCGGCGGCGGCGGCGGGTTTGGAGCGAGGGGACAAAGCGATAGAGAGTATGGGGTACGGGTCTGGGATCGAATACCTCTTATTCGAGTGCCAGTTCATATCGGCCGGCACGGCCCGTCCTGGGCCACGGGCTGTGCCGTGCTGGGCCGCGTGCCGCGCACTGACCCAAACACGCAGTGGTCGGCCGGTGCAGTCGGACGTGGCTCGCCGGGCTGACATCATGCGGACGTCACTCAAATTTCCTTTTTATTCTTTTTTTATCTTTATCTTTATCTTTACCTCTTTACCTAATAATAATAAAGAGAATTGGGTTTCTGTCGTCCGTCATCGCTATCGATTTTGCATAAAAGTCCTTCAGTTTATTCGAATTCAACCCGCAGTCCCTGTTTAAGTGGATCTGGAAAAACGCTTTAATTTTGCACAAAGGACCCTATGTTTTGGTATATTCAAAACGCGGTCCTTTTTACATGGGCGGCGCGACTGGAGCTTGCAGGGGGCGGATCCACGCACGGCGGGGGCTTGGAGGCGGATCCGGAGGTGGGCGGCGACGCGGGGGGCGAGGAAGGCCGGAGCGCGGCTTCCCGGGCGGATCCATGGCAGAGAAGAGACTGGGTGGTGAGGTTGAGAAGAAGGGAGAAAAGTGGGGCGGTGCGGCGACCCACGCAGGAGCTCGCCGGAGCCGGGTGACGATGGACGGGCGCGGGAGACAGAAGGATCCGGCGCGGCGGCGCGCACTCCTTGTAGTTGGAGGCGGGCCTTCATGGCCGCGGCGCCCCTCCCCCTGCGACAGCTCAGGCAGCGGTCAGATCCGCCCTCCCTCCCTCCCTCACTCCTCGCACTGGAAGACCTAGCCGCTGGGCCATGGTGACCGACGGCGATGATGACGGTGGTGGCTACCTCGACGATGGATAAAATCCGCTCCGCCCCTCCTCTTATCCGTCGACGACCGCTTGAATCCCGAGAGGAGAGGAGAGGAGTGGGAGATCCATGGCGGCGGAAAGATCCGCGCCTGGATCGGACCTGCTCGTCAAGGAGACCCACGCCATGGAGCTGCTCGTCAATGTTCCACCCTGGTGAGTGTCGATGCCATGGTTCTGCCCTTCTTCCCTCCCCTTCCCTGATGCTCTTCTCTCCCTCACGCAGGCACACATCCAACATCGCCATGGACCAGTAGCTCAAGCCGTCTTCTTCCAGATGGTGATGGGGTTCCCTCACCATCTGCAGGTCATCATCCTTAAGGGCTCCACCATCTGCAGGTCTTCCTTCTTCTCTTCTCTCTGTTGGATTCCATTTGATTTTTCTGCTCTATTGGTGAAGCTCCCTCTCTTCTCTGCTGCAGTGTCTACAGTGGACTATTTGCATCTTCAGTGCAAAAACCTGATTGTATATGGATGGATTGTAGGGTCTAACCACCTTGATTTGATTCGGGCTGGAGCAGCAGCAGCAGGTCCTTCCTTCCATGGAGGGCATCCACAACATGACCCGCACAAGGAGCTCCAAGCAGACAAAGGTACCTGCTCCATTGTTGTACATGTTCGTGAGTTCTTTGTGATGATGAAACCACTGATTTGATGTCCTGATTAGATACAATCCATTCCATTGAACTGTGGGGACAACATGAGGCACATGTCTCTGATTTGTTGTTACTTTGGTTGACAATATGTACTGTGCATGCGTGTGTGTGTTGATAAGTAGCAGATTTGCTTGGCCGCCTGTGACACTCATGCCAAATCCTTGACATTTCTGGGGTTATACAACCATCATGTTTTCTAAGGTTTTGTTTTCCCGCCTCCATCTCTTCCATGGCAAGCAGCACAGGTTTCTTTGTTTGTAAATTAAGCAGTCTGGTAGATTTGGAAAGGAGGAACAGGGTACTGAACTTTTATATATCTGCACAAGGTACCTTTCAATTAATAAGATTTGTTTTTCTGTTCTGAATAGGGTACTGAGCCTGATAATTGTACCTTTCTATTCTGAATTGCATATTTGTAGGAATACTATGTTATGTAAGAACATGGCGGTGCAGTCACCCGAGGTGAAGAAGCTCTGTCACCTACCTCTACATCCTCCACTAGGCTGACAAGCACAACTGCTAACAAGTATGCTAATCCACCCTCATCTGCATCGCTTCCTCCTAGCCTGTGATTTATGACATGGAGCATGTTGTTCTGTTATCATATACACGAATCTGTCCATGCTTAAATGTGGTCATAGGTTGTGGAATAGGAGAAACAATATAATGTTCTTTAGCAGATGCAAACCTGTCCATGCCTTATTTGGACCAATAATTACTGGTGTTGCCTATTTGATATGTAAACATATTTTTTTGGATGTCACAGAAAAATGCCATGCTACTACATAAGTTTGAATCAAACAAATTAAATTTGTAATAAGATCCCTGAAAGTAATTAAGTGCTTCTTGAATGCATGGAAACAACAAGTTAGATATCTCAGAGGTACTATGTCATATATTCTGAAAGTGGCGCACATGGATATGTATTCTTGGTTAGCTTTATGTTCCATTTCTGTTGTACATGCTCCAAGAGTTAATGTGTTATTCTGAAAGGATATGAAGTGAATTGTCTTCTACTGCAATCAATGGGCATTTCGTTCTACACATATGTCCTGATGTTGTAGTGCCACTTGATTTCCTTTAAAATTTCAGTAACAATTGAGCAATATTGGCCTTCCCTTTTTCCTGTATTAAGTACTATTCATGGAGTCAAAGCTCATGGAGATGGTCTGTTACTGATTGCTGCATCTATAGAGCTCACTAATAAAATATCTGCTGGTTCATCTAACTTATTTGATCTATATGTTTTTGTTTACCTGCAACACGAAGAGAAAAACATGCTCAATTAGTTCATAAATTTTAAAATTGTGCATTTTGTATAATTTCTGCTGGTTCCAGTCACAGCATGCCAGCATCTAATCCTTGCAGCAACACCAGGACTAGACTTTGGATATTTTTCTATACATTTGACATTAAAGTTATACCAACTTGCATCCATCGATCACTAGCTATTACATGCAGTAGGTAATTATCTGATGTCAATGCAACATCCAAATCATTGAAATACGACCTCTTATTCTACACAGTTCTTTATGCTTTGACAAATCACAAAGTAGAAATTGATTTTAAGATAATCTATAATTATAATAAGACCAGGAATTGCTTTTCTGAAAGAAAAACAAGGGATTGTTAATATGTTTAAATATGAAGATTTGCAGTACTGTAGGTCCTTACCTCTTCTTTTCCAAAGTAGATAGGACAAAAAAAATATGTCCCCACTAATCGGTACGTGCAGCAGTGAGGAACCGAGCAAAAGGGGAGCTTGGCTTCCAATGGGGTGATGGACAGATTGTAGGTGGGTGCTTGCCTCATATCTTCAATGCGAGAATATTGATTTCTCTTCTACTCCCTCTGTTTCTAAATATAAGTCGTTCTAGGGATTTCAATACAAACTACATACGGATGTATATAGACTATGTTAGAGTGTAGGTTCACTCATTTTGCTCCGTATGTATGTAGTGGAATCTGTAGAAAGACTTATATTTAGGAATAGAGGGAATATCGGTTAGTAAGCATTTTCCAAACTGTACGAAAAAAATGTTCAGGAGTTAAACTACTTTTCTTACTATTCATGCGAGATGGCAGAATACTTTGCTTACTATTCTCTTCAATTATTCCCCGATTACAAGGATGGCATTGTTCACGAGTTAATCTACTACAGAAAAAATGACACACCATTGTCAAGTTGGTAGGAAATCAACCTGCTGTATCTATTTGTTTTTTTCTTCTGGCATGTCCATCGACTCTGTTAACACCAAACAAAGTAACAAACTTGACAAAACTGAAACTCATCTCCCAGATTTCTCTATGCACTTCCATAGATTCTGATATGTCCATTGTCTTTACGACTTACATTTTGTATGTATCTGGAAGCTAATTCAGCATGACCCACGAGTGTTGATTTGTATGTTAGTGTGATAGAATCTCACTGAAAAAATTGACAGAATAAAGGAAAATATATATTAGATGTGTGTTATAAGAACGAATAGTCCATGCTGCCATGCAACCAATAAGTAGTCAGACTTTAAAACCATTGTCATGCAAAAATTAGGACAACTTTTGGAGTACTTGGGTTATCCGGGTTCTTATAAACAGGTTCCCTTTGTTGTAAGAGAGCAAGGTGCTAGCGGACTCACATGATGAGTTCTATGATCCAGAGAAGGTTGACCCTAGCCAAGAGGGGCATTCAGGCGACATGGACTCACATGATGAGTTCTGTGTTCCACATAAGGTTAATCCACCATGAAGTGTCTTGTCCATGGAGGATCGTTGTTGGCTTTGAGGGAGACGTACAGACTGTTTCCTATAACCTTTCTATTTTTTTGCTTGGCTCATTCAGTAGCTTTTGTGATAACAGTTGTGGCAAGCTTTTGTTGGTGTTGGAGCTCCCAAAGTAGAAGGGTACTCTATTTTTGTTTGCTTCTCTGTTTCGTATAGTGTGCTTACTTCCGAAGGTACATGCTCAGATTCTTTGGCCTCGGACGTTGTAGATGAAAGCCTTGATGTACTATCAGCATTTTTTGCTAATGGGGGGACAGCCGTGTTTGTTGTAAAGGAAATGAATTAATCTTTTATGTTAACAATTTATATCGGGGAATGCTAATAGAGGCCATTTTGACATGTCTGCGAGCTGCCCTGCTTTAGATGAGGATGGAAAAATACATTGAGATACTT